ACGGAGCTTAATTCTCTGCAGGGATTTTCTTAAGGGCTCGATCTGCTTTGCATCAACACCTCCTGTGATAAATTTAACCTAGCATGAATCCCAGAGAGCGCAGTGATGTATTGCTGACCTATATGTGCTGTGTGGGTAGTGGCAGACATTATGTAGCAGAGAAGTGTGTTTGCTCATTGTGAAGAGGTCATTTGTACATTGTTTAGCACTGACTTGCCAACTGCTAAGCTTGGGCAGGTCAGCTAGTCTCATTTTATGTGCACATAAAGGTTAAAAGGAACAATTAGCCTAGTTACTGTACATTAAGGAGATTGCTTAACAAAAGCCATCCGTGTCAAAAACATATTAAAGCATAAGGTTAATCTTCAAAGGTTTCAGGGGTTCAGTTTAGCCCAGGATTAATTCAACCGAGTGGTAATGTTGGAACAAATTTCACAACTCAATTCGTCTCTAGAGAGAGAGACTGCAGTTTGTTTGGAAATACTTCAGATTTTGGCCAGCAGATGGTAAATGTGAAAAAACAAAATGTTGGGACAAAAGATTATGAGCAAGTCCAACCTCAACCTGACTGAAACACTGCGGGAGGACGTTAAGAGAGCTGTGAATAAACAAATGCCTGCAAATCTCAATGAACCGAGGTAATATTTTAAAGAAGAGTGCCAGAATTTCTCCACAACAATGTAAGAGACTGATAAAGCCATTCAAAAGGTATTACTTCAAGCTATTGCTGATAAAGAAGGTTTTAAAAGTCACTGAGTCATGGATGTAATTAGTTTTTCACTGGATTGCATAGCATGTGAAACTTTGTAAGAAAGAAAAAGTTCCAAGTAGCTCAGCTCCCTGATGGTTCGACCACTTTGTTAGTTGAGTGATGTTGATGGACTGTTTCTACTAACTCTAAACTTTCACCAGGAGTCTGAGGTTTCCATTATTATTCATTTTTTTTAATCATCTTTAGACTGTCTTACATTGTCTTTGGTTTCTATTCAGTTTTAATCAAGTGTTTTTAATGCATGATCGTCAGATGTTTCAGTGGGTTTTAAGACATTAACTTGGTGATAGGAAAGTTATCAGTGGTAACATATAAGACCAGGCCAATAAGACTGTAAAGACATCATAAAGCTACGGTGCTGTCATTGTGGTTCAACCTACCCCAGCCGATGAGCATGTAGATGGAGAGGCGGAAGGAGTAGGTGGGGAGGACGAGCAGCAGCGTGTGAAGGTAAAGACCTTCAACCAGCAGCCAGAAGAAGTTAGCTAAGATGAAGTACTGGAAGAAGATCAGGCTGGCCTTACAGCCCACCTACACACACACACACACACACACACACACACAAACAGCAACATGCTTTGTTACATCCATTCTATAGTTTGCATAATAAAGTTCTGTATGTAATGTTATAATTTGACCACAAAGAAATACATTTTCACAAAGAATTGGAAGAATCACCAACTTCATTGTGAACCTTGATGACTGGCATTAGGGTGACTGTTTTTACACTGTGAAAAGATTTCTCAAATGTTTTGTGTAAATGTGCAGTTGAGCCAGTGTATTAAAAAAATCTGCGCTTGTTTCCAATGAATTTACTAATTTACTTTTCTCAGAACTGAAAGACATTTGTTTTTAACCGCTCCATGAACGGTGATCCACATGGTAGAACATTCAAAGCTGGAGAACTATTGCTCAAGACCACTTTATCAATTACAAGTCTGGCTTTTTGGAAGACGAAATGAGTGATGTCTTTTGCACAGGACTGTATATCCAACCCATGACTCCTGGATTAACGGTGCTACAAATGCAAATTTGAAAACTCTCTTCAGCATGTGTGGACATGTTGGAAAAAACGCAGATATAGAGGTAAACTTTGCAAGCCACCCACAGTTTTCTAAACTAAAGCTGCTTCTTTATGTGAATGGTTTCCAATGCTTCACTCTGAGGTCGTTTATAGCCATCTGCCTAAGGACCCTCAGTGCCGTGCAAAAGATTTAGATACGTTAGATTCTTATCCATCACACGCACACAAAAACAACATCAGGAAGGCGTCTAACTGGTTCCAAATTCATGCTTCTGCATGACAAAGAGTCCAAACATTTAGCCAGAGTCATAAAAAACCAAACATTCAGTTCAGCTACAAGAGTCCTGCAACAGATGGCCTCATAAAGTGCTCAGCTCCAAGATGCTTGGAAGAACCCAGAAAGTTTTTAAAACAGGTCAGAGCAGCACGCTCCATTGAGCACAACTACTTTTAAATCCCGGTAGCACTGCAACCACGTGAGCTAGCGCAATAATTTTTTTTGCATATGAAACCGGAGGAGTTGTACTTACATCTTATGCCATCAGCTTGTCCTCGGTCACGGTTTCCTTCCACATATAGCTTTGCAAAAACTGCATAAAAAGCACTTGCAGCAACAAAAACATAATATTCCAGAAACAGGCTTTGCTGATCCGATCAGCTGTTCATAACACTTCCTACGTTAGAATAGACGTCAGCACGAACTATAGCATATCGCCATGACCTGCCCGAAACCGGAAGTGACATCATTTTTGCGGAAATGTAGTTTTTTACCATCGGGGACTTATGAGCCTATACTGGTGTTTTTAAAAGTTATGTTTGACTTTATGACTTTCTGTGTCGTTTCTGGGATGTTTAGGACTCATATTGCACTGCTGGAAATAGTTTATTTTGATGCATATGCTGCTTTTTTGCAAATTTGCAAAAAATATTTATTTTCGTTTTTCCTGCAGTGTATAAAAATTGGTGTATTTCAAAAATAAAACTATGAAGACACTCAAAATAAATTTCCTGTGGTGGGAAACTATTTTGTGCAACTTTTTTGTATTTACAGTTTTGAGGGATAAGCCTCTTAAATTTCTCTAACTAGAAATATATGTTAAAAAACAAAAACGATTTTCAATTTTTTTGTAGTTTGTTGCACTTTTTTGCAATTTATGTAATTACTGTGCACTTAATGCATGCATATTATTAAAATCTGGGCTATAATGGTTGTATTGATGTATAGCAACTTGAAATGCTCCCAAAAATGGCACTACAGCATGTAAAAATATAATATAAGCTCTGGCGGACTTTGTTCTATGGTAGGTCTTAAAGGGTTGGTGAACGTTGGTATCACCAATACAGACTCCTCCTTTTTGTACTTTAATTAAGGTTCATCTAAAGGTTTTTGTACATATAGTAAATGTGTTTAACGGTGAAGTAAAAAGTGTGTGTGTGTTTTCATGCGTGAAAGGCTACCAGCGAGGGTTGTTGGCTGCAGTCTGTGGTTTCACCATACGAGAAGAGCAGGGTGTCTTTGACGAGCACTGCGACGGCGCGCAGGATGAACGACACGAACAAGTTTAGATGGATGTAGTTCCTCTTGCAGTGGAGTCTCCTGTAAACACGCACACACACGCAAACATAGAGAAGTGTGTTTATACAGAGTGTCTGGGTGTGAATTGGCTGAAGGATGCGGTATCTAAACATGTTGATAGCGGCCGAGTGAGCAGCTGGAGTCGATCCAGACTGAGCTTCGCACATCTCTACAAACTGTTATCATGCTCCGTATGTTCGGAAGTGTTAAGAGTATATAAATAAAAATATGTTATATAACCCGATTCTGAATACATCATTTGTTCAAATTATCTTGACTTTTCAGGAAATTTGCACAACAAGACTGATAACTTTGCCTTCAGCGCTGGACCCTGCCTGACTTTAAACCTCACGTTTTTTTCAGGATTTCCGCACTTTAGAAGAACAAAAACGATTCATTCAGCATGTGTGAGAAGACTGAAGAGGTCAGAGCCATGACCCCAAACTCTGTAGTAAATGTGAGTTTTCTAAAGAAACGTGCTCTCCAAACCCTGTATTTGTTTTCTTTAAAAAGATGACCTGAGGGGCTGCACGAGGGCCCAGCATAAGACTACGAATCATGCAAAGTCACTCTGGCAGCATTTAAGAATAGAAATATGGAGCTATGATGTAAAAACTGAAGACAAAATCGTCTGTTTCTGATTTCTTCAGATACCAACTTTCACTGTTTCAGGGGATTTAAATTGAGACGTTAGATTAGTCATTGTCATTAACTTTACAAACCTATTTCAAAATTACATAAGGGAAGTTTCATGGGTTTTTTTTTTTTTTTTACATTCGTCACCATATTTTTATGTTTAAAAAGAGAAAGAGAGTTTATGAAGACTTTTCAGGGTTATTGTATTAATAGAAAAAGTGAGGCACCTTTGTTTGTCCTTCATAAGAGGCCTCATTTACATATACTTTATTTTAGGTTGTTCCACCAGCACCCCTGTGGATGTTTCCAGCAGTGTCCTTGTTAAGCTCAAAAGCATCGCCCTCGCCTTTGTTACTTTTATTTTGTCTTTTAGGTAACTCAGAAAACTTGAATCCGTCCATGTGCACACAACATTATAAATCATGACATCCAAAGGCAACAATTTGTAGAAGTTTTAGAGTCTAGTTATAGTTAGTTATAGTTAAGGCTGGGTCGGGTGACCATGAATTATCTCTTAGTTATGCTGCCACAGACTCAGGCAGCTGTGGGATTTTCCACGAAGCAGTGACAACTTCTCCTGTCTCCACTCTTCCACACAGCATGTCCTTAGATGCCACCACTGCGTTTGTGTTCTCTGTCCTCCCTGCGCCTCTCCAACCTGTTCGCTTGTTTCAACAAGTCTGCCTAACACACGTTTTCTTCCTGAGGTGAAGAATAAAAGCCCTTCTAATGCATCCTTTGACCACTAAGAGATGCATCCAATACTATCAGTTGCTTCTTAGTTTTAGCTTTTTTTTCCTACTTCCATTTTGCTTCATTCAGCTTCAGTTGTGTTTTGTGTGCTTTTGTAGCATTTTTTAATTTGCTGGTGTCCGTTTGACCTCTCAGGGCGACTGCACTAAGAGGTAAAAATAGTATTTTGCAGGGTTACTGTGATGGAACATGTTATGCCCTGAGTAAATGCCCTGATGGAGTTAGTGGCACCATCAGGACAAGCAAGGCAATCAATGCTTGTCCAGTGAAATCTAAAAATATACATTGATTAAAATCAAATTGGACTGAAGTATCTTAAAGTAGGATTGATCTTCTTTAGTCTGCTTGAATCTTATACTGAGAGTCAAATTTATGGGTGTGTTTGCGTCCTGTCATCAGCGCCTGCAGCTGGGCAAACTGAGAGCACAGCTGCTTTGTCTGGTTGTTTGAACATGCATATTGGGGATTATCGTCTCGTCTTTGATGGGTGATCAGGACACTAGACAAGTCGTCTGCGGCTCTGCTTTCAGTGTTCTAGGATCAGATAAGATCTGTACTTTAGATGGAAAAAGAGCAAATATTAGCAAGTAATTATCAGAATAATCACATGTAAAGTAAAAGAGTTGCAGTTTTTGAAGTTACAGGAGATGTTTTTTAACAGTAGCTTTTTAATAGCTGTATTATTAAATATTTAATATTATTATTATACATATTTATATAAGAACACTTAAACTGAGTTCATCTTAAACATCTGCAGCAGAAGCATTTTACTTTTGAATTTTGGACAATAATACAGTTTTGCCCTTCTAATGCATCCTTTGACCACTAAGAGATGCATCCAATACTATCAGTTGCTTCTTAGTTTTAGCTTTTTTTCCCTGCTTCCATTTTGCATATATTACATATATAAGAACACTTAAACTGAGTTCATCTTAAGCATCTGCAGCAGAAGCATTTTACTTTTGAATTTTGGACAATAATACAGTTTTGTGTGTAGTGAGGTGCTTTCATAGTTTTTATTTCTACTTTTACTGCATCAGACGAAACTCTACACAGCTCAATATTTGCACTTCCTGGTTGTCTGTGACTCCACAGCTTCCTTTATGCTTCTCTTTCCTCCACTTTCCCATTCATCAAACAAGTGGTGACAGCGCTGTGGTCTCTGAACATGTGCTTTTTGGATGACTTCTCCCTGTTATGGGGATTTTTCTTTTCTCTGACTATGTGGTCACTAATGGTCTGTCAGTGTTGTTTGTCTTTATAGTATAAAGTGCCTTGAGATGACTTGTAAGGTCACCATGAATTAAACTGAAATCTTAGTGCTTCTGTGAGCTGTGGTCAGTGAGTGTTTTTACCTGAACAAACAGATGATGATGGTGCTGGTTAGCAGAGTGATGATTGACAGGCTGTGGCCCAGATTGGACAGAATCTGCACCGCCTTGTAGAAGACCAGCTGCAGACATACACAAAACAGATTTATTATTATTTTCCTGCTTATCGAATCATAAATAATGGAGCCGCTGTCACATCGACTGTGAAGCACAGCTGGGTCCCCATCCTGAGTGTAACAGTGGATCCTGTGAGCACCTCAAATGTTCATGTAGATTTTAATGAAATTATTTGGCTTTAATGACTGGTGAGTAAAATTAATTAAAATAAATATGTGTCTACATGTGTGTCCTATTCTTCTACCATGAATCCATTGCTTTCTTTTCTAGGCACCTCTAAATTTAGAAGAAGTTGTAGAAATATGCACCTTTTACTCCTTTGGTCCACATAAAGGTACGCATAGAGGTCCAGTACACGTATGTAGGCTGTAACTGCAGGGACAGATATTGACTTTTATTGTACTCGTGATTCTGAGTTTATCAATGTTCTGAGTTTTATAGTGAATAAGTAAAGAAGAACTCTCTAGTCCCCTGTAAAATCCCAAAATAGTTCGACCGAAAAAGGATAAGCGGCCACTGAGGATTTCATAACTTGCACAAGGGTATTTCCTTTTATAAATACAATCTGATCACAGAGGAGGAAAAAGTGGGAGAGAAATAACTGTCCAGGAAATTTTTCCCACACCACGAAGCGGTGATGATACACTGATGAAACACAGCACTCATTGTGCCCACTGCTTCTTTGTCCAGAGTGGAGATGCTCTTTCACAATAAGGGGAGGGTCGTGATAAGAATGAGGATCTGTTCCTTCTCAAAACAGTTCAAACCTCTCCTCTGACTCTGGCCAACACACACCCGCAGAGCATTAATGCTGCTCGCAATGTGTGGGTTTGTCAGTGCCTGGCGTTCGTTGCTATCTCATCATGTATAAACAACATTCCCCACCTCTGACACACCATCTGGCAATTAACCAGATATACACATTACACATCTACATCTAGCCTATATAAAATATACTCACTGACCTCTTTATTAGGTTAACATCGCTTCACAACGCTGAGGGTGGAC